CAGAGACCCTGGAGGTCCAGGAGGAACCATGTTGTGGGGGCGGTGTGGAAGAATGGGGGTGGTGGCAGGTAATGAGTGGAAGTATTCACTCCTCACTGAACTCAGAGGACTTGCACCTAGCAGGTCATGGAAGATTTAAAGAGTGAAAGAGACAGACGCTTTCACACACTGCAGCGTCTTCGAGCGTAACCTTCTGGGAAGGAGAAAGCCAGGATTGCTCAGGGAGGCAAACAGGGAGGCAGAACTGTACCAGGTGTCACTGAAATCTGGAAAGGCCATGCCAGGGACACCTAGGAGGCATTCGAGGGGACTTGGGACGGGGCTGTTAACATGCCTTTGGAAAAAGCAGATGTGCCCAGGTCCACAGTCAGGGGGCTTGTATTGTCCTGAGAGAGGGGTTGGAGTGGAGGAGGAAGGAAACTAAGCTGGGGATTTGAGGCCTCCATGAACACTGAAACACAGATCCTCGTGCAGAGCAGGGCAATCACAGTGGCTCTGGTCGAGGTCCAGGTGGGCTGAGGTGAGCGATACCAAATGCGCCAGAAAGAAGGCAGAGCCAGGCTGGTGGCCAAAGGGGGCCATGCTCATGAAGTCATGGAGGGAGGGGCATTAAGGGGCTGGGCCTGGCTGGCAGAGAAGGGGTGTGGGGGCATCTTTTGGGGTGCCCTGCTGAGGTGAGGGGTGGAAGAGACAAGCACAAGACAAGGCGTGTGGGGCCATGGTGCCCTCAGCTCTCCTTGCTTCACAATGACACACACCCCATACCAACAGGCAGCACCTCCGTAGAGTCTGTCGCATAACCCCTGCACCTCAGCTCTTGTGATGCATGTAGGGGTCCCTGAGGGCTACCATCTGTCTCACAAGAAGGCTGGCTTCTGCTTGCACATCTCGAAAGACAGGCTGGTTGTACCTGTCTAGTGGAGGAATCTTCTGAGCTGCATCATAATCTGCAGCTTCTACCTGGCCCATCACTACTGAGTGCCTCTTATGCTAGGCACTGGGAGGATGTGGAGAACAAAACCCACAAGGTTTCTGCTCCAGGAGCCTGCAGGGCACGGCCCCAGGGTGGTGAGTGTCCAGGCCAGGCACAGGGGATGGCGGGGTGTTAATATTAGACCTGGTGGTCAGAGGCCTCTTTGAGGAGGTGGTATTTGAGCAGAGCCTAAATAAAATGAGAGGCCAACCTTGAAAAGTTCTGGGCTGGCTAGCAAATTCCAGGCAGAGGGAACAGCTGGGAGTATGATCGGCTTGTTCCACGAAGAACAGCGAGCCTGGGAGGCAAGAGAGGGAAGATGGGGAGCAGGTCTCACCCTGGGCCCCGGAATGGCTGTGGCTGTAACTCTGAGTGAGATGGCAGCCAAGGACCAGCTTTAAACAGAAGAGTGACATGATATAGTTTCAGAGGGTTGTGCAGAGTAAAGGGCCCGTGAGGAGGCTCCTGTGAGCATCTGGACAAAAGATGATGGAGGCTTGACCAGGGAGGGAGAAGGATGAGAATAAAGGGCCTGTGAAGTGTGCATTTTACAGCTCGCCAGCCATCCCCTGACCATTCCTGGGGGGCTGCCCTTAGATAAACAGGACTTATATAAGTTAATTCAAGGTTCTGTCTTAGAGATAAGAGACTGTACCCTTCTCAGGGGCAGGACTGCTGGCCTCATGGGGTTGGGCCCCTGGAGCCCTGGCCAGACCCTCTGTCCCAACATGTGGGGCCCAGTGGCTCTTGGGCTCACTCCTTCATGTGGGAGGCTGGGGGAGGCTGGGGCAGGGCAGGGACAGTTAAGGGACTGTGCCCCTGGCTTCTCCATCTGTAAAGTGGCAGTGAAGGGAGGAGAGAAGTGTGTTGGGACAGTATAACCAGTCCTGAGACCCTGGAATTCCTTGCAAGGAGGGAAAGGGAAGAAGTGCCAGGTGTCACCACAACGAGAAAGTGTAAGGTATAAATAACTGGAATCTAAGGCCTAGAGCCCCAGTGAGGGCTCTTTGGGACAATGTAACGACCTCAAGTGCCTCTGTCCCGCGGCTCCTGGAGGCAGTGCTGGTGATGCTTGCCCTCATACCTCAGAGCTTGTAAGGAACAGATGAGCTGCAGACAAGGAACAGGCCCCGGAAGATGGGGACGCACCGTGGCCCCGCAGGACGCATCCCCCTGGGGACGTGAGGGCCTCCCAGAACCAGTTGACTCAGGCCTCACTCCCTAGGTGCTGTGTGACCTTGGCCAAGCGCATTAACCTTTCTGTGCCTCAGATTTCTTGTCATTGCAATGCGGGTAACTCTTCTAAAGAGCCTCCCATCCTCAAAGACAGCCAGAGCTGCGGAGAAGTTGGCTGGGTGTTAGTCGCTTGGGTACTCAGCCTGGCAGGGGACGCTCCCAAGGCGGGGACTAGGCTTCTCGGGGTGGCCTGAGGATTCCTGGCACGTGGCTCGACCTCCCCGCCCCCCATAGAGCAAAGGCTCGCAGCTTCCTCCTTAACCACGAGGGGGCGCCATCCGCCCCAGGACGATGACGGGGCGACTCACCAGCTCCGCGGCGTCCTGGCCCCGGAGCAGCGGCTTCTCCTCGGGGAATCGCAGCTCCTGCAGCCCGGCCATGGTCACGTCGTGGAGCAGAAGCCCTGGGGAGGGAGGGAGAGGACGAGGGTTGGGGCCTGCTGCGGTGGGGATGCCCCAGCCCTGCTCTGACTCTCGCAACACAAGCCCGGGCTGGGTCAGGTGCACAGGCACCACGCCGACCGCTCCATCCCCGGGTCCCCGAGCGCAGGCCCATCGCTGTACTTCACCCTGCAGCAAGGCTACATCTGCAAGACTCGCCTGCTTGGCTCAGGGATGTCATTGCATTATTTGTTCTTAAAAGTTAAACGTTGAAAAAAAAAAAAAAAAAAGGAAATAAAAGAAAGAGAAAAGAAAAAGGAAAGCAATACAGGATGACCCCTAGAACAATTTCAAGTAAATTTCTGCATTTATTGAGAGGCAGAGGGGCAAGTGTGGGGAGGCCAAAAGTGGGGTCAGAAGCGGACAGAACCCTCCTCCCCTCCACTCCCCCCTACCCCGTGTCAGAAGTGGTCAGTGGGGTCCTAGAGGACACAGAGGGACAGAGCTGAAGGCTGTCCTGGAGGCCTCGAAGGACAAGCCTGGGTGAGGATGGCCCTGAGAGGGGAGGAGGGGCTGGCGGTGTGGCAGGCAGGATGATGTTGAAGGAGGGGGCGCCTATCGCGACAGACTCCCTGAAGGAGGGATGACACCTGCTGACCACTCAACCCACAGCTGCTGGTCAGCAGGTCCCGGGCCCTAATGGCTGGTTGTTCCTGGTAGACCCGGGGCCTCTGAACCTCAAGAGAGAGAAGGGTCGTGCATGCGTGCGTGCGTGCGTGCGTGCGTGTGTGTGTGTTTGGAGGAGCCAGTGGGGAGAGGAGGGTTCCCAGGACCCCACAACGGTCTGGCCTGGGACTGCCATCCTTCACTTGAATCAGGCTGGTATAGATCAGAATGCACCAAGAGAAAAACTAGCCAAGGACACGAACTGGAAATTCATAAAAGAATTAACATTGGCCAATAAATAGATGGGAAAATATTAAAGCTCACTAGAAGTCAAAGAAATTCAGATTAAAACAAAATACTTTTTTTTTTTTTTGCCAATGGAACTGGCAAACTTCGCAGTGCTGGCAAAGATGCGCTGAAACTGGCACTTATATTTCTTGTGGGTGTATAAATTGATACATCTTTCTGGAGGGCAGTTTTATAGAATGAATTAAAATTACTTAAAAGATTCATACTCTTAGACTCAGCAGTCCTCCCCCTGGAAGAAATTTCGTAAGGAAACCGGAGAGGGCACCTCGTGATTTATCTGTATGAATGCTCACCACAGTGCCATTTATAATATTAGAGAAAAACTGTAAAAAGCCAAGTTTTCATAAACGGGGTATTAGATAGACTATGGGTCAGTAATTATGAAAGATATTTAATAACATGGGAAAGCACTTGTGTCATAATAAATAGAAAAAGCAGTTATAAAATGTACAGTAACATTTAAATTATGAGAAATACAAACAGCCCCACAAAAAAGCCTGGAAGGAGGTACATCATAAAGTCGACAGGCCTTGTCCCTGAGTGGGAGACAGAAAACTAGGGCCTGTAATCTGAAATCAGGAACAAACATTTTTTAAAAAGACTACTTGGTTGAAGATCAGGAACAATTCTTTATTCTGGCACCGCATGTCATAGCTCTCAAAGGGCTTTCTTGTGCTCTCTGATTTCACCCCGGTGGTCAGTGAGATGAGGAAACTCAGGTTAAGAGAGGTTCACTGGCAGGCCCAGATAAGACGTGGCCTGGAAGCAGGGTCTCTGGACGCCCAGTCTAGTCTAGTGCTCGTCCTCTACCACCATGGGCTCCTGACCTGCGGGTTCCTACTGCTTTCCCTCCTCTTCTCCCTCCCTCTCTTCTTTCCTCTCCTTCCCTTCTTAACTCTGCTTTTAGCCTCACCTACAGATGAAGCCCTCAGACTTCCCCCTCTGCCCTGAAAGGCTGCTGATCCCACTGGCCGTTTGGTTAGAATACACGCCCCACCCCGCTATCTGCCACCACCTCCCCAGCTTCCTGCCGCATCGCAGCCCTGCTCACCCCTGCTGCTTTGGCTTCTATCTATGGAAGGCCCAGTGACTGGAGAGTTGGCGCAGTGGGTGCCTGAGACCCAAGGGCACAGGGCCTCAGATGGAACCCATTTCCGTGGCCAAGCTGTCAGGAGACCAGGATGCAGCTCCAGAGCCTCCCTAGGCTTCCTTCCCTCCCATCGGAAGCCCGAAGCATCAGCTCTCCAGAGTGTTACAAAGACGGTGCTTCAAGGCATGGGGGCCCCCACTCGAGTTTCGTTTGGAGTCGAGATGGGCTGAGGCCGAGCTGAGCGCTGCTGGCCACCGAGGCCTCGCAGAAGGCTAATCCAGAGTTGTGGAGTCCCCTAGGATAGCGTCGTCCCCAGCACGTAGAGGCCAGGCAGGGAGGCCCCTGCACACCCAGGCCGCCAGGTCTCCGCACCTTGGTATCAGGCTGGAGCGCTCTGTTCCCAGTGGTTTCCGGGGAAACCAGCTAACAATGCAGATGGGCTGTATTTTTAGAAAGGTGCCCTCTCCTCTCTCCCCCCACTTTTGCTTCCATCCTTTCTGATGGCGGCACACTCATCCATCCATCTGGCTAGGGAGCTAAAAGAAGGGCTCCCACCTTGGAAAACTCTTCCCCCATTAGGACGCTTTTAGCTGACAGCCTCCCTGAGCACCTAACTGGATTAAACTCCTTGGCAGCACTGGATGTCCCCACCCTCACCGGGGCCTGTTTTGAAACCACCCTGGAGACCATCTTCCCCAAGAACGGCGCTATTAAAAGGGCTGAGAGTGGGCAGTGCAGGGACAGATGGCCTATGATGGAGGAGGTGGCGGGGAAGGGGGCTAGAGAGAAAACGGGGAATTTCTTAGTTCATGGAAAACAGAGACAGCCCAGGGCCCAGCACGTGGTGATGGGGGGCTCCAGATACGTGAGGCTCCAGACAGAGGCCAGGACATACATTCTCACAGGGGTAGGGGCAGAGAAGTTTCTTCCTAAGAAAGTTGTGAAAAAAAAGAAGCTGCTAGATGATAAGTTATAAGAAAATGAGATTCCTTATCAAATCATCCCATGTATACTTTAAATTTACACAATGTTATATGTCAATTATATCGCAATAAAGATGAACCGGGGTGGGGGAGGAAAGAAAAGAAAATGAGATTTCTATAAACCTCCCGCATGGAGGCTTGTGGTCAGGTCTGCAAGGAGTTGGGTAGCACAGAGCAGAGTGGGCTGGGACTCTGCCCTTCCCCCCTCTGATTCCTGCTTCCCCAAAGGCGACACACAGTGTGAGAACACAGAGCGTGAGAACCAGACGGGCTGGGATGGGTTCCGGCCCTCCGCTTCGGAATGGTTAGGTCCGGAGTCATTGAAACCATGGCCGATATTTCTTCCACGTTACTCATTGTCTAGCTTTATTTTGAGCAAATCACTAAATGGATTGCTCGCCTGCGAAATGGGAGTGTTAGCCTTCCTCTGTCTGCCTCGGAAAGCTATGAGGTGCAACAGAGACAGCGGAGAGAAAAATGCCTTTTTTAAATGGTAGATGTTTGTATCCACTTGGATGGGACAAAAATAATTTAACACAGCTGACTGGGGTCTGCCTCCCAAAGATAAATCTGAAGGTCTGTCTCTCCTGTCTTCTATCTGGGGAAGGGTTCAAACCTGCTGGGAGGGAGGCTGTGCCGAAGTCCCCGATGAAGGGACAGGAAAGGGATGGGGGAGAGGAAACAGGGCCTCTTGGGCTGGACGACAGACGTGTGCGAGGTCTCTGCTGAGAGGGACTCCTGAGCCCTGCAGATGTGGGTGGATTCTTTGAGAGAAATTGGATTTCTTTTCAATTACTTTTGGTTTATGTTTCTTTAAATGGGAGTCTGTGCTGAGACCTAGGCCAGGTGAACTCTCAGATTTACTAGGGTTGAAAACATACGTGGTTACCTGGCCATTCCTGAAACTAGTCAATAAACACTTCAATTACATTGTTCAGTAGTAGTTACGTATCCTATGGAATGACGCAACTGTTGAGTGGGACATACTGCTCAGACAGTGCTCGGGGAGGTTGGGAAATATACTGTGGGGATTTGGGGTTGTCTCAACAACCAGGAGCTCCTACTACCACGTAGTGCCCAGGGGCCAGAGGTGAGGATGGCCACGCGATGCAGGGACCGTGCCGCACAATGAAGAACACTCCCCGCCCCAAGACAGCTTTGGCTGTCCCACCGAGAAACCCAAGAACTGAAGGAGAAGGCAGGTGAGACGGAAGCGGACTGAAGTTAGTACATGCGGGAGAAACCATGCAGGTGAACCAGACCTCGTGGGCCAGGGAGAAACCAAACGGTGAAAGCGGCTAGACTGTGGCATGGCTCGTATTCTTTCAGCTGCAAGAGTGAGGCAGTTCCTGGGGCAGGTCATGGTCCAAGGTGCCCCGTGGAAGCTGTACTCCTGGAAATTCTGGTCATGTGGCCCCATTATTACAAGACACAAGTAAAGGAAATAAGCTGCAATAAGAAGCAGAGCCAACTGGGCCTGGCCAGAGGGGTCTGTGCCGCAGATAAAGAATGATGCCTGTCCAAACACCCTTTTCCCCAACCACGCCAGCACCGTGGTCTGAAAAGCAGCTCCGGAAACCAGGAAATCAACTTCCAACTGCACTGATAGGGGTTTGGAGCTGCATGGGTATGTGGCCCCATCTATCACTCTCCCTGTCCCTATCCTGACTTGGGATAGGGTTGGGACAGCACTGGGGCTGGAACAGGGACTAGACCTTCCCTCGGTACCCCCATTTCACAGATGAGGGGAAAAGGCTCAATGGGGGAGTGACTGGTGCAAGTCTCCCTGTGGCGAGCCCAGAATCCATGCTCTGAAACCCCACCGTGCAGGCACTCTGTCTCCCCAGGTGGACGGCACGACAGGAGGATGCAGGGAACACGACATCTTTTCTGGCCCAGCCTCCATTTTCTCTCTCTAGATGAGGCCCTTGATTTCTGCCCAGTCTGAACGAGACCAGTTTTCCTGCTTTTTCC